TTATTTTATTTTATTTGTTGATTTTATTTATTTTGTTTTTTGTTATTGTTTTGTTTTTTTTGTTTTTTTTGTTTTTTTTGTTTTTTTTGTTTTTTTATTTATGTCTTTGAATCTATCGACGTAAACTCTTTTTCAGTATTTCTTTTATTTTTTTATTTTTTTATTTTTTTATTTATTTCATTTATTTTATTTTTTATTTATTTTGTTTATTTTATTTATTTTATTTATTTTGTTTATTTTATTTATTTATTTTATTTATTCTAATTTGTGTTTCTTTAACCCTAAACCCTAAACCACCTAAAACCATTGATGTCGCTGTCTCTATAAACTAAACCCTAAACCCTAAACCTCAAACCCTAAACCCTAAACCCTAAACCCTAATTTATGTTTCTTTCTTTTTTTGTATCAGAGTGCTTTTTTAAACAACCACTTAAAACAACTGATGCCGGTATCTCTATGAATTGCAGTAAACCCTAAACCCTAAACCCTAAACCCCAAACCCTAAACCCTAAACCCTAAACCCTAATTTGTGTTTTATTTTTTCAGAGTGCATCATTAAACAACCACCTAAAACAACTGATGCCGGGATTGAGTGCAAAGATGTTTAGAACCTACAACGCGAGCATAACCCTTCAGCAGGAGCTTGATAAACTCCAGTAAACCCTAAACCCTAAACCCTAAACCCTAAACCCTGATATGTAAAGCCCTGAAGCGGAATACTAAGGGGGATATCCTAAACCCTAAACCCTCAAGTTGTAATATTTAGAAATAGGGGGGAAAAAAAAGGGTTTAGTAGCGCTAAAAACTAGATTTTAAAATCTAGGGTTTAGGGTTTAGGGTTTAGGGTTTAGGGTTTAGGGTTTGTGGTTTAGGCCGACACTGGAGAAGTTNTAGGGTTTAGGGTTTAGGGTTTAGGGTTTAGGGTTTAGGGTTTGTGGTTTAGGCCGACACTGGAGAAGTTTAAAGAAGAATTAGAAAAAGAGAATATGAAAAAAGAGGGAAAAGCAAAAACAAAAAAAGCAAAGACAGAACCACAAGCTGCTGCTGCTGCTGCTGCAGCAGCAGCAGCAACAGCAGCAGCAGCAGCAACAGCAGCAGCAGCATCAGCAGCAGACGATGATGATGCTCCCCTTAAAGATAAAAAAATAAAAACAGAAATAAATAAAAATAAAGAAAAACAAAAAGAAGAAGAAATACTGAATGTAGATATCTCTGATGTAAATCAATTGGTGCAGTTCTATAACGATGCAAACAGGTAAACCCTAAACCCTAAACCCTAAACCCTAAACCCTAAAAAAAACGAAATAAACCTAAACCCTAAATCAGAAAAATATATAAACCCTAAACATAAAGGGTTTGTGGTTTATCATACGCATAATAACAACAGTTATTAATGAGGGTTTGTAAGGGTTTCATAGTATGGGGGTTTAGGGTTTAGGGTTTAGGGTTTAGGGTTAAGGTTTTTGTAGGGGTTTATAAGGGTTTATGGAGGTTTATATTTTTATGAGGTTTTTTAAGGGTTTATGTAAGATTTTATATTAGGGTCTTAAAGGGTTTATAGGGTTTTAGGGTTTGTGTTTCAGGGTTTAGGGTTTGTGTTTCATGGTCTAGGGTTTAGGGTTTAGGGTTCAGGGTTTAGGGTTTGTGTTTCAGGGTTTATGTTTCATGATTTAGGGTTTACGCTTTAGGGTTTAGGGTTTGTGCTCCATGGTCTAGGGCTTAGGGTTTAGGGTTTAGGGTTTAGGGTTTGTGAATCAGGGCAGTAGCAATCCTATGTAACCACCATGCCCTAGGGTTTAGGGTTTAGGGTTCAGGGTTTAGGGTTTATGGTTTAGGGTTTGTGTATCAGGTTCCATGGTCTGGGGTTTAGGGTTTAGGGTTTAGGGTTTGTGAATCAGGGCGGTAGCGATCCTATGTAACGCAGAGGGTTTACACTCTGCGTTTCATGCTCTAAACCCTAAACCCGAAGGGTTTACATTCTGCGTTTCATGTTCTAGGGTTTAGGGTTTAGGGTTTAGGGTTTAGGGTTTNTTAGGGTTTAGGGTTTAGGGTTTGTGTATCAGGGCAGTAGCGATCCTATGTAACCACCATGCTCTAGGGTCCAGGGTCTAGGGTTTAGGGTTTAGGGTTTGTGTATCAGGGTCTGTTTTCCATGGTCTAGGGTTTAGGGTTTAGGGTTTAGGGTTTAGGGTTTAGGGTTTGTGTATCAGGGCAGTAGCGATCCTATGTAACCACCATGCTCTAGGGTTTAGGGTTTAGGGTTTGTGTATCAGGGTCTGCATATCATAATCTAGGGTTTAGGGTTTAGGGTTTAGGGTTTAGGGTTTAGGGTTTGTGTATCAGGGCAGTAGCGATCCTATGTAACCACCAGCGTTCTATACCGAAGCAGCACGCGGCATCGATGGAGCGGTTAGGGTTTCAGTTGCGGTGTATAGAGGAAGATATAAGAGAACTAAAAGAATATAAAATATATATAAATAATATAAATAATATAAATAATATTAATAATAATAAAGATAAAAATAATAAAAATAATAAAAATAATAAAAATAATAAAAAATTCCAATTCGTTTCGGATCTTAAGGTGCGTAGACACCCCAAAACCCTAAACCCTCATAAACCCTAAACCCTAATAAACCCTAAACCCTTATCGACCAGTATTACTTTTTTACACTCGTTAATATTAATAAACCCTAAACCCTAATTAAACCCTCGCTTCACTTTCTCTGACCCTCTAAACAATCCTAAACCCTAAACCCTAGGAAACCCTAAACCCTTGCAGCCAGCATAAACCCTAAACCCCAAACCCTAAACCCTTGG